AATAAAATTCTTATAAAAAATATAAAGTGCTCTCTTAAAATTTAGGAGTTATCCATACATGGCTAAAAACTAAAGCCCCAAGAATAAATGAAACTTGAACATAGCTACAACAAGGAAAAAAACAAAAAAATATATAAAAATCAAAAGAAATAGAATCCTAGGCATTTCAAAGTTGTACAACATTTTTACAGGAGTTGTTACTTTGGGAAGACAGGGGTTAAAAAAAATATCTAGGTTTAGGTGGTGGTGGTGGCAGGGACATATACACCATTGGGAAAATCTTAGAGAATACTTAAATTATCAGGTGATAGAAAATTAGAAGGGGCTAAAGAAAAAGCAGGGAAAGAAAAATGAAAACCAAGAACTAGGAGAGTTAAATGTGAAGAAAACCAAAGAAAAGAAGAATTGCAAAGATAGTACAGTAACACCAGATAATAAACTTAATGTTTCTACTCTATCTTTCCCTCACTTTAACATTAATTCATCATTATCTCCACTACTATTCTTCTCCTTAACAATGCTCACCAACCCTCACAATCTGGAGACAAACAGGTTACTTTTGCACTCCAATCGGACAGGTGACTCACATTTTTCAGAGGACAGTGCTGACGGGCATACCACTCTTGAGAATAAAAGCACAGCATAACGCCGTTACCCAAGAAAAGAGAAGTCCACATCATAACATTCCAAATTGGCCTTTTCCTCCGATCATTGACAATGAAGTTGAAAGCCACTAGTGTTTGGAAGATAACAAAATAAAGTATGCAGTTATCAAAACAATCTATCAGGAGATAAAGATTTTCAGATAGCTGTTGTCATCATTTAATAAATCACAGTGAGCATCAACTGTTCATATATATATATATATATACACACACACACACACACACACACATTTTATTCTGGTCACTGGTTTTATAAATGAAAATGAAGCTTAATTGGTGAAATGTATTAACAAGTAATTAATAGGACATCAAGAGTATTCAGGTGAATATATTTCATGAAGTTATTCATATGCTAACTCTTCCTCTACCCACTCAAAAATGGTCAGTTTTCCAAGGGTACATACTGATCATGTTTATGAATAGAGAAGCTATTTATATAGTCTTCATGACCTGCCAAATCAGTGTTACTAATGGTCTTCAAGACCTTACCTAGTTCATTTCCTTAAAGTGTAAACAACTTGAGACAGTTATATATTTATAATTATTCAAAGTTAATATCCTAACCAGCTGGTTAGAGAGAGAAACACTACTTTAACATGGTATTAGTGCTATCTAGTTTTTCTACCTTGATTCTAGTCTCTCTTCTGTATGATGTTTCTTTTTAACATAATACCCAGTACTCACAGCATGCCAAGATACTTACTTCCAAAGAACATGAAGAGCACGAAGAGCACAGGATAAAAAAAGCTCAAGCAAACAGCCAGGGCATATTCGTGCACTACAGCAGACACAGCAAAAACAGCTAACATGGCAGCAGATTTGAACCTCTTAGAGAACAACTAAAGGAAAACATTAAAAATTTAAAAAAATTTTAAAGTAAGGATGAGCTTTGTAAGATTTCTAATTATCACATGTGAAAAGCACCTAAATATATTTATGTGTGATTTTCCAAGTCTAAGCCTTAGATTAATCCAAGCCTATTAAAATAATTAAAAACATAAATACCTATCAATCCTTATTATAAAGATGCATTTCCCAAAGCATTATCATTTATTTCTAAAAACATTAATAACATATATTTGTAAATTATTATAGTTGACAAACCATAATTTTCATACATAAGCAAAATGTATCTGGTTTCAATCTTTAACACTGTATGGTGGATAGGGCAGGTGTCCTCTCCATTTTTACAGGTAACAAAACAAAGATTTAAGAAGGAGAAGAAACTTGCCTCTTACCTGCGTGAAAGTGCGCTCAAATAATGCTATTTCCACCACAAGACACTGTCACTAGGCAAATGATGCCCTTTCTTGACAATAAAAACTATAATCCAGAGATACAAGTCTTAACCAAGAGATTCAAGGTTACTTTTTTTTTTTTGAGACAGAGTCTTACTATGATGCCCTCAGTAGAGTACCGTGGCATCACTGCTCACAGCAACCTCAAACTGTTGGGCTTAAGTGATTCTCTTGCCTCAGCCTCCCAGGTAGCTGGGACTACAGGTGCCCACCACAATGCCTATTTTTGGTTGCAGCTGCCATTGCTGTTTTAGCTGGCGTGGGCCGGGTTCAAAGCCAGCTCCCTTGGTGTATGTGTGGCTGGCGCCATAACTACTATGCTACAGGCGCAGAGCCTCAAGATTACATTTCATTAGTCTCTAAGCAGTATCTCAAAGACATGTGTCACTGGAGAGACATAAATCTACAAAAGGTTTTTCTCTAAACAAAGAAACAAAAATAAATGAAGAAAGATACAGGGAGATGGCAACAAGATTCCTAAGAAATAACCCATTATTGGTGGATCATTTCAATTCCACCGAAGACTTCCATGCATTCTTACTTTGTTATCGTGTAAAATAAAACCCAGAGCAAAAATACAGTATTAGACTTAGTACCGTACATACTAGTTTCTAAGCAATACTATTCAAAGCACAGAAGTTGTTAGATGTAAATGTCTCTCTCATAGGAAAACTGAAAAGATACTATCATCCTTTCTTCATGAGCAATTAGGCTATTTTTATTTTTAAAGAAACAGAGTCTCACTTTGTCGCCCTGGGTAGACTGCCATGGCATCATAGCTCACAGCAACCTCAAACTCTTGGGCTTGAGTGATCCTCTTGCCTCAGTGTCCTGAGCAGCTGGGACTACAGGTGCCCACCACCACACTTGGCTAGTTTGAGATGGTGTATCACTCTTGCTCAGGCTAGTCTCCAACTCCTTAGCTCAAGCAATCCACCTGCCTCAGCCTCCCAGAGTGCTAGGATTATAGGCGTGAGCCACCACACCTGGCTTCATAAGCAATTACATATAACTTCTTCCTACTGCATAATACTCAATATATTTGGAAAAGAATTCTTTCTTTTTTGGGGGGAGGGAGGGTCTGATCTCACTGTGTTGACCAGGATGGAGTACAATGGCCATCATCAGAGATCACTATAGCTTCAAAATTCCTGGGCTCAAGTGATCCTCTAACCTCAACCTCGTGAGTAAGCTAGTCAGACTATAGGCGTATGCCAAGGCATCCAGATAATTTTTTTACTTTTTGTAGAGCCAAGGTCTTGCTACATTGTCCAGGACAGTCTCAAACTCCTGAGCTCAAGCTATCCTCATGCCTCAGCCTCCCAAAGTGCTAAGAATACAGATATAAACCACTGTGCCTGGCCAAATATCCATTTCTTAAACTAAATCTTGTTGCTTACCCAGAGAAAGTCCTTGTAAGCATAATAATACAGCCAGTCATGGACAACTACATTCCAAGTCCTGTAATAGTTAGAGTATGATGTGGAATTCCACCAATCCTGAGGGGGAAAAGCAAAGGTATAAAACTACACACACACCATAAGCAAAAACCCCCTCAATTTTCCCAAAAAACACATATGTAACATAGAAGTCAGCATATATTATGATAAATTGTTAGTTCATATGCTGATGTCAGAAAACTCCTAAAGGGCATTTTGGTTATTAGAAATGAATGTGACATTAATTCTAGTTTTATGTATGACCAAGTTTCTAGGTTCATTTTGTCTCATAACTAAACAAGTTACACTGAAAGATACAGAACACACAGACTCATTTAAATCTAATGTTCATCCAAACAGCAATCAGTAAACTTTCCCCAGCTCTTCACCTTGCTAGAATATAGTAAGAAAATTCCAAGGTCATGAAGACCAGATAGAGTGTTAACATTAAAGAACTGTTTTGTGGTATCATAAATAGCAAAATTTAAGTTACACGAGGAGTGAGATGGTGGCTACCTCCAAGACCTGGTGTCCTATTATATAATTCTTGCTCCGAATTTTAAGAACAGACTAATGAAATCAGATTATCTAAAATCTGCAATCAGACTTGAATTGATATCAAAAAACAACAAAAACTCAAAGAGAGGTTTAGGTAGGGTTACCAAACACTATGAACTACTCTGGCTCCAGTCTAAAGCTTTCCAATTTTAGAAATAGAAGACTACTACTGAATTAATGCCTCTCAGAATACAGGAGGGAAAAGTTGTTTCCTTCACGAATTGTTCAATGATCTTAACCTTGCTGATGTCTCTCTTTCAGAACTAGATAGCCAATTTTTTGTCTTATAATGCCATCTGGACAAACACTTTCCTGCTGTATTTAGGCTTAAGTGATTCTCATAGGATCTGGCAGAAACTATGCACGTGTATTAAGGGAGCAGATACTAGAAGTAAAAGCTATGTTAATTGAATCTGCATCAGAATTTCAGACTTAATTTGGCAAAATTTGTGGGAAAGAAATTTCACAATGTTAATGTCCAAAAGCTGGTAATAATAACCAATAAGCTCAAATACGTAATGAGGAAATCAATGTGAAAGGAAAGATGAGCCTAATTATATATTACCTTATAAAACATCCTGTCACCAAAGCGCAACATCTCAGCAAAGGCATTGAGCCAGCAGTGCAAAAAAGCAAAAAAACTAAGGAGCAGAATCAGCACCCCTAAAAATAAGATTAACAATATTGAGAGCCTTTCTAAATAGCTCAGATATCAAGCAATTAACTATATGTCACCACTTGTTTAACTGGGATTATTTTGTAAAATACAAGTTATTCAAATAGCTCAGATATCAAGCAATTAATTATATATCACCGTTTGTTTAGCTGGGATTCTTCTGTAAAATATATACTATTCCAATATGAATTACACTATATTGTAAAATACCATTTACATATCCACCCCTTTACATTTATTCACAAAATATTTATAGAGCATCTACTATGTACCAGACAATATGGGAGAGACTGTGACCACCTATAAGAACATAATTCTTGATCCTAAGCAATTTGCATTCCAGTGATGAAACCAGCCAACTATGCAAACACATACCTTATTTTATTTAATTTTTTACTGAGACAGTCTCATTTTGTCACCCTCTATAGAGTGCCATGGTGCCATAGCTCACAGCACCCTCAGACTCTTGGGCTTAAGCGATTCTCTTGTCTCAGAGACATTCTCTTGCCTCAGCCTCCCAAGTAGCTGGGACTACAGGTGCCCACCACAATGCCTGGCTATTTTTGTCATTATTGTTTGTTTAGCAGGCCTGGGCTGGGTTCAAACCCAATAGCCCCAGTGCATGTGGCTGGCGCCCTAACCACTGAGCTATGGGCACTGAGCCACACACCCTATTTTAGGAACAGATAACAGAGTTTATTGAAGTAAGTCTTGAGGTCCATCAGGGTGGGTTACTGAAAGATGTCAGAAGTGCCCATAGCGCCCGTAGTGAGTAGGGCACCGGCCACATACACTGAGGCTGGCGGGTTTGAACCTGGTCAGGGCCTGCTAAACAACAGTGATAACTACAACAACAACAAAAATAGCCAGGCATTGTGGCAGGCACCTGTAGTCCCAGCTACTTGGGAGGCTGAGTCAACAGAATCGCTTAAGCCCAAGAGTTTGAGTTTGCTGTGAGCTGTGACACCATGGCACTCTACCCAGAGTGACATAGTAAGACTCTGTCTCCAAAAAAAGAAAAGAATGATGCCAGAGGGAGGAAAGAAGAGAGAAAGTGATGACAGAAAACATTACTAACATTTAATGAATAAAGAGAAAGAGTGAGTAAACTATTAACTAAAATGAGCTTATACAGGGTAAAGATTATGCATGTCTTATTTAGTACTGGAGGCTGAGGTCCTGGCATCAGTAGGTACTCATATATTTCCAGAAAAAAATAAGTAGAATGAATGAAGTTAAGAGATTGGGTATAGCTGGAAAGACAGAAAGAGAATAGGAAACGGTGGCAAGAGAGATTTCAAGATGGGATCAGCAACATCCAATGCTTCATGCAGGTCAAATTGGATTAGTGTACATCTACAGGATTCAGAATCAGGGAGAGACTAGTGATTTTAACAAAGGGTGTTTTGGTGGCCTGGTGGGATTAGGAGCTAGATTGAAGTGAAAATAGGGAACAAAAAGATAAAGCATAAATATGGCTCTACCATCACACAACATAAAACTTGAGTGAAAGCCACAAGATTAATGGAAAGATTGTCCTGAGACTGGAAGGACACTTCCATTTCTAAAGTAGATGGCAAAGAGGTCAAGATGAGTATATGTGTGTAAATAAGTTTAGAGGAAAAAGCAGGTAAATAAAAGTGTTCACAGGGAGTGGCCTTCTATTATATTTTCCTTATGAATTTATGCAGGACCAACTGAACAAAATACTCACGTTACCTGGCAAGATGGAGTTAAATACACAGAGGACCAGAACACGAGCGCTGAAGGGCTCCTGTTTGATATTCCGAAACAAAGGAGCACAAAGCCTTTCAAAGATGTAGTACACATAACAAAAGCACCCAAAAACCTAAAACATAACAAATATCCAATTATAATGATGGCTTGATAAAAAAAGACAGATGGTAATCTTTTCCTCAAAAAAAAGGTACACATGTGACCCTTAATGTTTATATATTTCATTTAACACGAGGATATATGACTGCTATAATCCTTCAGGGATTTTACTCAAGCCTAGTTTTTACCATACCTTTTTTTAATCCTTTATCAAGTCAAGTTTTTAAAAGTTCATAGTCTTAGAACCTGTATTTCTTCCTACATAAAACCCATTAACATAAGAACTTGTAGGCTATAGGGGGGTTTTGATTGAGATAAGAATTTAAACTGAGATATTCTGAGATTTATGATTCTGATGGGGTCGGGGGGAAGATGTGGCAAATGTGGGAAAGTCAGATCACATCTACTCACATATGCCCCCCAAACAAAACAACCAGAACGGGCAGCGCCTGCGGTCTCAGTGGGGAGGGCACTGGCCCCCTATAACGAGGGTGGAGGGTTCAAACCCAGCCCCAGCCAAACTGCTACCAAAAAATAGCCAGGAGTTGTGGTAGGCACCTATAGTCCCAGCTACTCGGGAGGCTGAGGCAAGAGAATCGCTTAAACCCAGGAGTTAAAGGTTGCTGGGAGCTGTGATGCCACGGCACTCTATTGAGGGTGATAAAGTGAGACTCTGTCTCTAAAAAAAAAAGTCTTTAATTAAAAAGACTTCCTTTTATGGAAGAAAATTACTTTTGATGCTGGCAAAACAAACACATTTCCTGTTCTGGTAATAGTTTAAAAAAATTGACAATCTCAAAAGAAACCATTCTTGAGCACCCAGAAGATTTAAATAAGAATATTATAAATAGTAATTCCCATCTCCCACCAATCAACACACCAATGGCAGTTAAAATTTTACCTGTGCAAACTGCATAGTAACATAACCCCACCTTACAGTGGGAGTCCTAAAAAGAAAATAAGTTTTCTAAATAAATAATTGAACTTGAATAAATACACTCATATTTTTACACATAAATCATTTATGGCTATATGAAATACTTATATAATTCTGTCAAGAATTACTATGACCACCCTGACCAAGAGTGAGACCCCATCTCCACTAAAAATAGAAAAACTAGCTGGGCATTGTGTCAGGTATCTACAGTTCCAGCTACAGGAGGCTGAGACAAGAATATTGCTTGAGCCCAAGAGTCTGAGGTTGCTGTGAGCTATGACACCACAGCACTCTATACAGGGTGACAAAGACTCTGTCCCAAAAACAAACAAATACCTAACAAATGCACGCAGGGTTTCTTGTACTCTCAATGAATCCCCAACAATAAATTAAAAAAAAAACACACAAAAATTTACTATAATCAAATTAGACTGCTAAATGTCATTATATGCCATATAGACTGCCATATGCCATTGAGACTGCTATATGTCATTATATGCCATTTGAGGCGTCCCAAGCCACACATAAAAAAATGAACTTTCATATTCTCTATATTCCTATGTGAACTGGTGGTCCCTACCTACATATCCCACCTCCCTCATGCCACAAATTCATGTGCTCACCACATTCCTGTTTTATAGTGCCATTACCTGGGATAGCTGTCACGGTAGATAAGGGTAGGAGCAAACAAGAAATACAAGTACTGATTGACTGTAGGTATTGGAACAGCGCCTAAAAAAGGAAAACTATACTTAGATCAGAGGCTCTTTGATTTCTTTCAGTAAAACTAAAGGAGGAAAATAAGGAAACACAGAACAGGGAAGAACAAGATGACATCTTCTGGCTCATGGTATTTCTACCTGATTGCCTAAGACGACCTCTTATTCTTATATTAATTGAATATTATTAATCTCTCTAAACTAAGTTATTCCTATGACTGAGATAACTTCTAGAGTGTGAAACAACAATCTGCAAACAGTAAGCAGACATAAGTGTAAGGAGGCAAAGTTACACAAGACTCTAATGATCAATTTTTTTTTTTTTTTTTTTGGCTGGGGCTGGGTTTGAACCTGCCACATCTGGTTCAGGGGGCGGTGCCCTACTCCTTTGAGCTAGTGGCGCCGCCCTAATGATCAATTTTTTTTAATTATATGATCAAGGGAAAAACAGGAATAGTCAGAAAACTGAGAAAGTCTTCCACATCAATATGAGTCTTTTATATTTAAAACTCAAACACAATCTGTATATTATATAATGTGCCATACCAGCAAACACCAAAGGTTGAAATACCCTCTCAATAATCCTTTAACTTAATGAAATTACATACTTGATTTCTCCTTAGCTGAATTTAGAACCCGAGGCACGTTCTCTCTGACAAATGAATAGGCCTTCATTATTAAACGAATCTACAAAAAGAAGGAGGGAAAGGATAAATTTTCTTTGTCTCCTATAAACAACTCCAGAACAACATTATTTATATTTACACAAAAGAACTGAATTTTTTTGGCATATACTAAACCAAGTTCACTTTTATGCAATAAAGAAAATAAACTGAAAAGAAGGTCATCTCATTACTCAAATTATATTGTATCTAATAACATAATATGAGTATATTACAAATCAAGATATTAAAAGCCTATTGAAAGAAAGTCCTTTGAAAAGCCCCTTTCCATTAGTTAAGCAGGTTATAGACAATCAATATAAATCATAAAATTCTGAAAGGTATATAAGCAAATAAAAATAAATCCTTTGGTATTCAGCTGAGAGGAGACAAATGAGATGGCTGAATGGAATCCTCCAGCAATCAATCTCCACCTCCCAACACCAAACTGATCCATGCAAGAAGCCATTTTTTTTTTTTTTAGACAGAGTCTCACTATGTTGCCCTGGGTAGAGTGCTATGGCATCACACCTCACAGCAACCTCAAACTCTCGGGCTTAAGTGATTCTTTTGCCTCAGCCTCTGAAGTAGCTGGGACTATAGGCCTGCCATAACACCCTGCTATTTTTTGTTGTTGCTGTTGTTGCAGTTGTCATTTTTGTTTTAGCTGGCCCCCAAGCTGGGTTTAAACCCACCAGCTTCAGTGTATGTGGCCAGTGCCCTACCCACTGAGCTATGGGCACAGCTAAGAAGCCATTTTCATAAGAACTAAAATAAATCCTTTATTTAGATATAAATAGTTACATGACAAAACAATGAAACTGACACTTCAAAAATGAAGTTTTAAAAATAAAAAAATATTTTATAATTTAAATGACTTTTACAAAAAGTCTAATCCATCCCAAGCAGTTTAATACAATTCATTTACCAGGAGTCGAAACACTAAAGCTAGAATGAATCTTGAAAGATGAGATGATCTAGTTTAGTCTAGTTGATTTTTCAGATAATGTCATAAAGAATGATATATGGAAATTTATTCAAGTTAAACTGTTAAAAATAACAGTATCAGTATTATTTTAAGCACAGCATCACTTTGCTTAAAATTCAAAACCTTACCTGTTCAAGTATAACAATGAATCGGGAAGCTGGTGGCAGCGTATATGCTAATACAACATACACTGGTACAAATCCTAGAACTCCAATCTGGAAGATCATGAAAAGCAAACCATGGAAGAGGGAATGGATCAGTGGATGAGAACTCTTACTATAGCCACTGGCCCAACGATCAAAAAGAAAATAGGGAACTGCAAGTGTAGACAGGAACATGATCCACCATGTCCAAATAACGGTAGGAAATTTGCCAAAAGCATAAGACAGAAGGCTAAACTCAAGCACCAGCCTGGGAGAAAAAGCACAAAAAAAGAACATAGAAATGAGTTCTTAATATGCACTGAATTCACAGAATTCAAAACTTTCAGACCCCAAATTTTCAACATCAGGGAACACTATAGCATTAATACACTAAAGTCATAGACATGACAATTCCACTAGATGGAGATCTGCTTCTAATCCTCTGCTCACAATATATCCACAATATATTGCTTCACAATATATCCCAGCAATTAATTTTCTAAAAGTCCTAAGATAATACACCTTTGAACTTCACATACCTAACATAACTGTACTTTGAACTTCTGAAAGATCAGATTCTCACATTAACATTTTTAAACTAAAATACTCTATGGCAAAATAAAGTATAAAAATAGCAATCTATGGGTGAAATCTTATAGGTGAAATCATTCCTATGATTTTTCAGAATGAAACAGGCACAATTCAAAAACCTATTAATATATCATTTCAAGGCTGGGCACCCGTAGCTCAATGGTTACAGTGTCACCCTCATGTACTGGGAGTGGCAGGATCAAACCTGGCCAGAGCCTGCTAAACAAACAAACAAACAAAAATATCATTTAAAAATGTAATTTTCCCAAAAAGCACATAATTCAATCTATGATTATCACACCACCATTTTTTGTTACAATGTGATTTTTATAACAAAAAACAAACACTTTCAAGCTTAAATTCCAATAAGCTACTTGTTCTAGCTAACCATCTTAAATGTATACCACCAAAACAACTGAAAAATCATATATGCCTGTCATTGTGTAAACCACAGGGGACTGATTCCAAGACCACTTGTAGATACCAAAATCTGTACATAATCAAGTCCTACAGTCAGCCCTGTGAAACCCAGGATATAAAAAATAAGCCCTCTGCACAAATGGTTTCATACCCAGGAATCCTGTATTTTCGATTCAAGTTTGGCTGCAGATGAAGAATCTGCCAATATGAAGGGCTGACTGTATTTATTTTTTTTTAAATCCCTAAAGTTGGCCAGGCAAGGTGGCCCATGCCTGTAATCCTACCACTCCAGGTGGCCAAGGCAGGTGGATTGCTTAAGCTCAGGAGTTTGAGACCAGCGTTGAGTCAGAGCGAGACCCAGTCTCTAAAAATAGCTGGGCGTTGTGGTGGGCACCTATAGTCCCAGCAATTTGGGAGGCTGAGGCAAGAAGATCACTCAAGCCCAAGAGTTTGAGGTTGTGGTGAGCTATGACACTACGGCACTCTACCAAAGGTGACAAAGTGAGACTGTCTCAAATAAAAAAAAAATTGTAAACCCACATTCAAGTGTCAACTGCATACAAAATTCTTCCGTTTGGGAAAATTACCTAGAAACTACCAATCATGGTCTTTTAAATAGACCATTTTAAACATAAGTAATAAAGGTTCTAATTTTCTCTTTAGTTATATTCTTCAGAGGAGAAAAATATCACCCTCAAATCGGCAGCTTTAGAATTTTCTGAAGCAAATTTAACCAAATTACCCTTAACCAAAATTTAGTAAAAAATCTCAACTTCAGCTAGCCCAACCATTCTTTTTTTTTTTTTGTCTTTTATTTTTCTAGCCCAACCATTCTTTTTTGTTGTCTTACCTTCCTTCATCAATGTAATCTACTACAAGTGTGCTGAGGATAAAGAGAATGAGGAGGGCAATGAACATGTGATATATTGTTCTTATGTGGTCCACTTCAAGCAGCTCACTGTAAATGTAGTTCAAACAAATCAAATTAATAATCTATATTTCATTGCAAAACACCATATAAAGATCTTTCCTTAAAGCAGTGTAGAAGATGCTTAATATATCCTCCAAAAAAAACCCCTCAAAAAACAATGGCATACATTCTTGAAAACAAACCAGAATCAGTTTTCTAGGTAAACAAAGGTCGATCATTGAAAACAGGAACACAGAAACTACTTCTAAATGCTAAGAAGTTTTAAAAAATTCCTATCCATACATTCTACTCCCTACACTTAATATATACTGAGTACTATATATATTTCCAAGATGTTAAAATTGACCTAAGTTTCTGGCATGTTGATAACCCACCTCCTAAACAGTTCTGTCAATTACCCAAGCATATACCACCATGCCTGGGTGATGTGTCTATTTTTAGTAGAGATGGGGGTCTCACTTTTGCTCAGGCTGGTCTTGAACTCCAAGACCAAGCAATCTTCTTGCCTCGGCTTTCTAGAGTGCTAGGATTACAGGCATGAGCCATGGCACAGGGTGGCCTCCCCTTCTCTTTTGATACTAATTGACTTTTATATCTAAGATCAGGCTACTTTTCTCTTAATACAGTAAAGCCAGATTGTGTGGCTCAGGCCCGTAATCCTAGCAGTCTGGGAGATCCAGGCAAGCAGACTCCTTGAGCTCAGGAGTTCCAGACCACCCTGAACAGGAGCAAGATCTATCTGTACTAAAAATAGAAAAATTAGCCAGGTGTGGTGGTGTATACTTGTTGACCCAGCTACTGGAGAGGCTAAAACAAGAAGGATCACTTGAGTCCAGGAGTCTGAGGTTGCTGTGAGCTATGATGCTCAGCACTCTGCCTAGGACAACAGAGTGAGATGCTGTCTCAAAAAAAAATAAGGGGAGTTAGGGGAGAGAAAAGAAAAGACAAGACAGCATATAACTTTCTAGATGACTTTTCCTAAATAGATCTTTCAGATTTTTTTTTCCTTTGAGACAAGAGTCTCACTTTGTCACTCATGGTAGAGTACCATGGCGTCATAGCTCAAACTCTCAAGCTCAAGTAATCCTCTTGCCTCAGTCTCCCAGGCATCTGGAACTATAGGCACCTACCCCTATGCCAGGCTATCTTTGCTATTTTTTTTTTCTTTTTAGAGATGGGGTCTTAGTCTTGCTCAGACTAGTCTTGAATTCCCGAGCTAAAGCAATCCACCTGCCTTGGCCTATCAGAGTGCTAGGATTACAGGCATGAGCCACCACACCTGGCCTATCTTTCATATTTTACTAAAACAAGCTTTTAAATCTCATTTTTATAACTCTTAAAGTAACTTTTTGAGGAATTTAATATTAAATCTTAGAAATAACAATCTTCAGATCCTAATAAAAATCCATCTGTGGACCATAGAAAATGTGTTCTATGTATTTCCTTGGTTAATACATTTCTTTAGTTTTTAGTTATTTTTGACACAGAGTCTACTATGTCGCCCTCCATAGAGTGCTATAGTATCACAGCTCACAGCAACCTCAGACTCTTGGGCTTAAATGATTCTCATGCCTCAGCCTCCCAAGCACCTGGGACTACAGGTGCCACCACAAAGTCCAGCTATTTTTTTGTTGTAGCTGTCATTATTGTTTAGCTGGCCTGGGCGAGGTTCAAACACAACAGTCCTAGAGTATGTAGCCAGGGCCCTAACCACTGAGCTACAGGTGCTGAGCCATGTTTTTACTTTTTGAAGTATACTTTAATTTTGGTTATTTTTTAAATAATGCAAATTCTACCATTAAAACTTTAAATAGGGCTCAGTACACACAGCACAGTGGTTACAGCACTGGCCACGTACACCAAGGGTGGTGGTTTCAAACCTGCCTGATGCCTGCTAAAACAACAACAAAATAGCTGGGCATTGTAGCCATGCCTGTAGTTCCAGCTACTTGGGAGGCTGAGGCAAGGGAATCGCTTAAGCCCAAGAGTTTGAGGTTGCTATGAGTTGTGATGCCATGGCACTCTACCAAGGGCAACAAATTAAGACTCTGTCTCAAAAAACAAAAACACAACAAACTTTAATTATAATATCCAAAATAATTTTTATTTTCCTTTTATATGAAAAGCCTACATTTCCCCTATATGCAAATTTTAAAAAATTAATCTCTTCAAAAACAGTGTGACAAACACCAAAATGAAAGTTTACACTACATGCTTTGAAAACTCTAGCCTTCTTACCAGATCAATTCGACCCACAGAAAATAAATGTTAATAAGCAGAAGGTGCATTTTACAAAAAAATTATTAACAGCTGAGGATGGTGGCTCATGCCTACCATCTTTGAGAGGCCAAGGCAGGAGGATTGCTTAATGTCAGGAGTTCAAGACCAGCCTAAGCAAAAGCTACACGCCATCTCTACAAAAAACAGAAATATAAGCCTCAGGGCATGGAACTGTACACTTATAATTACTGGGGAGACTCAAGCAGGGGTATCACTTGAGCCCAGAAGTTTGAGGTTGTAGTGAGCTCTGGTGAAGCCATTACACTCTCGCTCAGACAACAAAGCAACACCCCATTACCAAAACAAAACAAAACAAAACCAAGAAACCCCACGCCCACAGAAAAGCACATTAAAAGACTTAAGGTAATTTTTTTTAACCAGCTCAACTATTTCAGGTTAAATTTCAGCAGTAGTCTTATGGATAAATAATCTAGAGAGCACTGAAGAAGAAATATTCATCACATACCCAAAATGCACCTTTAATTTTTACTTTACAAATGTTAATTGCTACTATTAATTTACAACATGTGTACTTTATGGCAGAAGAATTAAGGTAATAGGGGCGGCACCTGTGGCTCAAGGGAGTAGGGCGCCAGCCTCATATGCTGGAGGTGGTGGGTTCAAACCCAGCCCCAGCCAAAAACTGCAAAAAAAAAAAAAAAATTTAAGGTAATGGGGGTTTTAAAATAAGTAACTTTGAGAAAACTATCAAGTCTCTAAAATAACCAGCCAAATTAGAGATGGAAAACAATTTATACATCAAGAAGACATCAACTTATAGAACTCTCTTGAAATAGGTTTACCAAATTAGAAAACTTTTGTTTTTGTTTTAGCTCTTTGGGTAACCAATTCTCTGCAGCACAACTTCAAGAAATTTACTGGAGGTTATGACAGATAACCACAATCTCTAAACTCCTCCTTTGAAACTCAGAAAGGAGTAAGAGATAACAAATGCACAAAAAGAAATAGCCAAACTAATGCTTTATACGGATAGAGAGCGAGCTCCTTACATACTCACAGTGATTCCATCAAGATAGCTTTCTTAAATTCAAACTAAAAATTAACAAAAAATACTAAACAGTACTCACTCTAAGAGAGATCGCCTTGTAATAAAAATCTTTCCTTGGTCTGGAGATGCTCTCAGATCTCTGGGAAGAACAAAAAAATGAAAATTTAAGTACTTCAAGTGTTATAAGAAATCTAACCCACAGAGAAGAGAAAGAATATTACCAGCCACACCAGCTAACGTTAATTAACTACCTTTTCGCTATGATTCAGGGACTTTGTTAAGGATTTTATGAATGTTAATTCATTTAAACAATGTTATGAGATAGGTGCATGTATAACAATTAAGGATGAGGCTTGGTGCCCATAGTGATTAGGGTGCCAGCCACACACACCAGGGACGGCAGGTTCTAACCCGGCCCAGCTGCTAAACAACAATGACAACTGCAACAAAAAAATAGCTGGGCGTTATGGCATGCACCTGTAGTCCCAGCTACTTGGGAGGCTGAGGCAAGACAATCACTTAAGCCCAAGAGTTTGAGGTTGCTGTGGTGTTACCGCACTCTATAGAGGACAACATAGTGAGACTCTGTCTCAAAAAAAACAACAGTTAAGGATGAAAGAGATGTTAGATGTCCCTAACTGGAGAAGCACTCAAGGAATTCTCCACACCCAGCCTCTAAGGAAAGGAATTGTGGAAATCACACATTAGCAACCATTCTTCCTTCTTTCAGAGATACTCTGAGGTCACAGACATTCCTCCAACCATACTTTATTCCAAGTCATATACTGTTATTGGTCTATCTGAAACTGCACTGATGATTAGGATACTCTTCCTAGTGTCAAAGGACTCCCAATAGCTTCCTAATATTAAAGGCTGCCTCTGGTTACTAACAACTCCAATTTGGGGCAGCACCTGTGGCTTAGTGAGTAGGGCACCAGCCCCATAAACCGAGGGAGGTGGGTTCCAACCTGGCCCCGGCCAAACTACAACAAAAAAATAGCCCAGCATTGTGGCAGGCACCTATAGTCCCAGCTACTAGGGAGGCTAAGGAGAGAGAATCGCCTAAGCCCAAGAGCTGGAGGTTGCTGTGAGCTATGATGCCAAAGCACTCTACCAAGGGGGACAAAGTGAAACTGTCTCAAAATAAATAAATAAATAAAAATAAAAAATAAAAACTTGAATTTTAACATCTCACATTATCATATTCTTTAGGGTGTGCTGCAGTACCATAGGGGCACAAAACTGAGAAAAGCACAGAATAGCACATCAGTACACATCAGGCTTTGCTAGCCTTCCCGCTTACTGATGACTGACTAATCAGAACACTGGATGCTAACCACTTTATTAGAAGTGTTGTATAGACAGACATGTAACAATACAATTATGAGCAAGGACTCTGGAGCCAGATTCTGGGTTCAAATCCCTGCTTATAATCCTGGACAGCATTTAAGCATTCTATGTTAGTTTCCTAATCTGCAACATGCAGAGTTACATACATCTGCCTCATAGGGTCACTATTTGGTTTAAAAGAACCTATGAAGAACACTTAGCAAGTACTGGCTCTAAATATATTAGTAAATAGCCTTAAAAGTATGTATGTATGCTATAATACACACATTGAGATGGAAAAAAAAAAAATCACCTTTCTAGTGGCTAAAGAATTTTCCCAGTGTAACACACAGCCAATAAAAAGTGGTGACAGGGTATGAACTCAGGAATTTTCATTGCAGTCCATATTCTGACTACTGATCTATACTGAGTAGATGTTTGTATTAAAAGAAAGTAATACACACACTTACTTTGTTCTGTGGTTGTTTTTCTCTCCTTCAAGAACAGAAAAAGTTGTGAGAGCACATCCACCATTATCTAATGATGCCGATTTTTCAATGAGATTAGTCACAAAATCATCAAAATGATTCCCAATTTCCTTCATAAAAAATGGTTTCAATTCCTAGAGTTTTAAAATAAAGAAAAATGTAAGGAAGTAACATATACTTGTGGGTTATTAACATTTTTCTAAAAGGCGCTCTTAAACAGAGCTGGGCCAAAAGAAAGCCATACTAGTAAGTGAGTTCCCAGGCGAAGCAAAAAACACTTCCCATGACTTGTAGTTTCAGAAATGGCTACTAAAAAAGCAACATAATGACTTGTACCCTTTTAAGGCATACATCAAGATATCAAAGTAATCACCTACTAAATGAATTCCTAAAAGTGATCTATAAAATCAAAATTACAAAAATGATTTTTTAAAAAGATTATTTTTTTTATTTAGAAAACAAAGTAAAAAAATCAATTGGCATTATATTCCCATTATATAACTATATTTATACTGTTTTGGTTTTTTTTTGGTACAGACCCAGTCTCACCTATCGCCCTTGGTAGAGTGCCATGGCGTCACACAGCTCACAGCAACCTCCAACTCCTGGGCTTAGGTGATTCTCTTGCTTCAGCCTCCCCAGTAGCTGGGACTCCAGGCGCATGCCACAAGGACCGGCTATTTTTTTGTTGCTGTTTGGGTGGGGCTGGGTTTGAACCCACCACCCTTGGAATACGGGGCCAGCGCCCTACCCACTGAACTACAGGTGCTGCACTTCATAACTATATTTTAAGTCCTTTTTTTTCTGAAGCAATCCCTTCATTCCAAGTACTTACCATTTATATTTTGGAGCATGTCATTTCTACATCATACTTCATTTATACAATGTTTACTCCTACCTACATATTTATATAACCATAAAACATGCGCCTGCATATATGTGTTAATATAAACATATACATACACAAATACATATTTTCATAAGGCAAAGGTAAATTATGTGTTTTCTTTAAAATGTGCACACGTATAAATGTTATGTGTTTGGTCTCAGTTTTTTCTTTTTAACACAATTATTAACATTTTAAAACTTGTTTTAAAAAGTTTTTGAATAGTATGAAGCAAAAAATATTTTTTTTCAGGTTATAATAGGCCACCTACTGTAGATGCCCAAATTATAAATTTGATTATTTTTAAATTGTCAAGACTTACCACAAAGGAAAATAAAATATTATTTACTAATTCTTCAAGAGAAAAAAAATGCTTTTTTTCTGACTGAATTATTTGTTGAACGCAAACAAAATGAAGTAGCATTTTTCTGGGTCCTGTTTTAGCAAAAGGAGTTTGACCTTAACCAAGTTCTTTAAAGGTCAAACCTAAAAACATCAATGTATGACTATACAAAAGCTTTTCAAACTAATCGTGTCTCCTCCAATTCCCAACTATCTTCTGGGTCCTGGGCAGTGAGAAAACACTAAGGTCCCAGCTGTCACAGGATAGTTAATGGAGTTAGAAAATATAAAACATACATATACACAGAAGGCTGCATGTCACCTGAGCACTATAACTATAAAAGTTTAGCAAGCAAAGCAAAGATAGTGATTGGAACTGGAAGTCATTTTTGGGTTAAAACAGCAAATAAAAGTAGGATTTAGACTGAGTGAAAGTGGCAGAAAAGAGAGACAATGCGGTGAAAAGCAGAGACACAGGAAAACATGAGGAGTTTTAGCCACAACCGAAAACGCAAGCAGTAGGTTTTAGGGACTATGTTCCCTAGGAGAATAAAGAGTTTTACCAAATTAATTTTTCACATTAAGATTATCTGGCCAGGTGCAGTGCTCACACCTGTAGTGGCAGCACTGGGAAGCCAAAGCCAGAGGCTAGGAGTTCAAGAGTGCCTGGGTGACATAACAAATCCCAATCTCTACAAAAAATAAAAAAAAATTAGTGGCTCAGCACCCACAACCCAATGGGTAGGGCGCCAGCCACATACACCGAGGCTGGTGGGTTCAAGCCCAGCCCGGGCCTGCTAAACAAAAATGACAACTGCAACCAAAATATAGCTGGGCATTGCAGCAGGTGCCTGTAGTCCCAGAGGCTGAGGCAAGAGAACTGCTTAAGCCCAAGAGTTGGAGGCTGCTATGAGCTGTGATGCCACAGCACTCTACCCCGGGTAGAGACATAGCGAGACTCTGTCTCAAAAAAAAAAAAAAAAAAA